TCTATAATAACAAAACAAATGATATCTCTTGGTATTTTCTAGATCTCTTACACGTAAAAATGACGATTTTCTATAATAAAAATAAGTTATAAAATCAGAAAATTGAATTTGTAACTGGCTATATAATCAAATTTAACTATTTTAAGGTATTAAATGTCACATGCAAAAAAATTTAAGTGGACTTAATTGGACAGATCAAAGTAATTTTTTTGTTACTAAATATACCTGCCAATTTCTCTAAATAAACAATGACATTAATTTTCTCTCTTTTCCCCTTAATTTATGTGATATTACTTTTTTTAAGGTTATTTCGTAAAGAAAGTTTTTCGTAGTCCTATATTAATTGTTCACTTTATAATATATAATTCTTCCAATCATTTTGATCTCATTTATCCTTAAAATTATTCCTTTTTTATTTTTGTAAATGTAATAAAGTTTGTAAACCTTCAGAAAAAAATTATTTTAGTCCAAATCAATAAATTTATTTTTTTTATTTATGATTTTGTATACGGAAAGGGCCTAAAATATCCTTGAATTATTGAAAATGGTACAAAATTATCCTTCATCCGCCTATTGCTCCAAAATGCACTTTTCATTCACCTATTTGCTCAAAAATACCCTTGTCATCCACCTTTGGGTTAAAAATTGACCACTTACTTAACGATCAATTTTTAACCAAAAGATGGATGACAAGGGTTTTTTTGGACCCAATATGTGGGTGAAGAGGGTATTTTGGAGCCAACAGATGGATAAAGAGTAATTTTGTACCATTTTCAATACTTCAAGGGTATTTTAGGTACAAAATTACCCTTCATTATAAAAAAAAGAAAAGGGCCTAAAATACTAGCCAAAAAGTAAGTTTCCACTCAATGTTTCAAGATCCCTAAGAAAATTCAACACACAAATTAACTTCGAAATAAACAACCAAAGTCTCAAATCATACATCATTTAAGAACAACCATAAAATGTAAAAACCATCTCTGTTATCAAACAGAGTATTCAAAACATTCACAATTCTATGTTTCCAAGCAGATAAAATCACCTTGAAGAAAAGGAAAAACACAGCCTTACTACTCCATCAACCAAAGGTCTCGTTTCTGTTTGTCCTTCCAAAACATTTTAGCTAAAGATTAAGAAGGATTGTGATAACGATACTAATCAACAAGATATAAAACTTCTGCTTTAGATTATAAAAGATAGTCAATTAGATGAAACAAAAAAAAGGGCATCTAAGATAGAATTCTCTGGTAATATTGTTGTATGTTATTGAGTTTTTTTTTGTTTTTTTGATAACCAAGAAGTCCTCGAGGGTCAATAGTGCACGGTTTATAACTCAGTGGATTATAGACCCGCCCCTTTACTCTTCTCCACTTATATACCAGACTTTTTGTCTGCGGTAGGGTTCGATTGAGCTTGTATATATATGATTATATGGAAGCTGCATAAAGGAATGGGATATGTTTTGACTATATTGGAAAAAGACTGATTTATGAACAACTGACCCCAAACCTACCCCACCCCCCTTTTTTTCTCTTTTCCTGTTTTTAGTGATATTTTTTTTTGGGTGTGGAATTGTAACATTGAACTTGTAAGAATAATATTGTTGAAATTCAATTCAGCTTATAATGTATATTGTACCATAATTTTTATTGAAAAATGTTGTTGAAAGGGATTATCTTTTCCATTCAAAAGGGGTATTGTTTATTAACCATTGAGATCAAGAGATTTGATCGAATTTTATTCTTTCTCACTATTCAGAGCAATATGTCAACAACGTCATCGACTCTCATAAAACAGCTAGTTGAAATCGACTATATGAATCCTCACTATTCCATTTATGCTCAACTCATGTCATGTTCATATCAAATAAAAAAGAATGCACAATAACCATGAGGACCACAATGAATATATTAAAAAGATCAATAACCAACCAAAGCGTCATCCCATAGATCATTCAAAGAACACACATAGAAACAAATTAATCAAAAACATACATCCAAATTCACTTATGTTCACAGACTGATGGTCTTCACAGTGGCAAATGCAAAATAACAGCCTTACTGCTGTATCAACATTCTTTTTACGATTTCAAACATTTTAGCAAAAGATTATGATCTGATTAAAGACTAGTTAATCAAACAGGATCTTAATATTGATTCTAATCTACACTATACAGAACTTCTGCTTTAGATGATGTACGCTGAAATTCTGTTACCTCAGCGAGTACTTTAAATGACTCTTTATCTTCCATTTCAAGGGCTTGGTTATCATTCTGACAGATGTTGGAGACTTGGCCAATAAAACCTTGATAAGCTGCATTTGAGATGCTACTCCTGTTACATCATAAATCAACAGCCTTCTGGCGAGCATGTTCAAAATAGTTCTAAGAAAGATTAAGAAAAACAATCAGCCTTGATTTAAAATTGAAGATCATAAGAAAGTCAATGCATACGAAAAAGAGAGAGAAAAGTAAACATCATTAACAACCTCGATTTCAATTTCTTCTAAATTAGGAGAGCTTCTTATCAAGAAAAGAGCAAATTAAAGATCAAAGAATACTCCTAGATTAAGGCAAGATATGTGAAGGCATTTAATATAGAAAAGAGCATAAGGGAGCCGGTCCAATATACACGTCCTAGGAAGAAAATGTCAAAAATCAGGATGACTCAAAGTTATGAAAATGCAAGTTATGAAGATATATTACCTCAACATACTTGTGATTCCAGCAAAGATTCTCGAGAGCAGGAATAGACTCAAAAATCATGTCAACATCATGTTCTACCTCTACCAAAAATTCTGTAGGCTCATATGAAACTTTGGAAAGAAGAGGGACATTCTTTAAATGTAAAAACTTTATATTGCCAATGAAAATAATTGACCTTAGTTTGAGAGCACTAATTTCAATGTTATTTTGTGATCGCATCATGTTGCAACACCAAATTCTCAAGCAATGGGAAATGTGAGATTACACTTCCAACTAATTCAGAAGAAATATTGACTTCAATTAGTTCAAAGCTAATTAACCAATCACATCCCTCAACCGGATGAGGACGTATTAGACAGTCCTTGAGAAACAGATGCCTCAATTGTGAACATGTAAAAAATGCAGAAGGCAATTCATATGGCTTACTCCTAAATGGAGGATTAAGGACAAGATGTTGAATGACATTCCTAGAGAGGAAATATATCAAGTGATATCAAGTACTCTGTTGTTTTCTAAAGTGTTTGATCAAATTTCAGCTGCGGAAGTCTATGCCAATTATATCGCCATTTCCTTGATAAGATGCTTGTCCTCACAACATTTCGTAAAGGCAACCTCGTTAGAATGTCATCAATTATACTATCAGGAAGGCTGCTAAGTACATCGCAGAGGTAAAAGTTGTTTTTTCCCATTTGGAAGCATAACATCAAATGACTACTACAACAAGAATCTGCATAAATTAAACAAGACCACACTATGTAAGGAATCTCGAAATTGTCCGGTTAGAGTACACACTACATAGTTTACTTGTGAACTGATAAAAAGATAGTTTCCGAAAGACTAACATCTCAAGTGTATCAAATCCAAGTAAAATAAGTGCTGCTTTAGTTATCCAAAACTTAAAAACATATTATTCCCATTTCAACCTAGTGAAAATCCTAATTCCGCCATTACTGAAACACATCCATGATAGATCTACACCTACCAACACACCATGTCCTTGAAAAACATTAACTCCATCAAGTTTTAACCAAACCCCACTTCAATTTCATCATATTAAAGCATACCCAAACAATAAAAATGCAATCTTGATACCAATAGTCTATAGAACAAGAACCATAAACGAAGAGAGTTTGTGTTAACAATGAAGAAAACAATAAGTTAAAGAAACAGAGAAGAAGAAGAACCTGAGAGAGGATGAATGTGAAGCACTCTCCTCTCTTTGTCTTCTCAAATGGAGGTGTTGGAAGAAACTAAAGAGACAAGCTTTTGAAAATATTTTATTTTGTGTGAGGATGAAAGTTACAATTTTACTGTTATAGTTTCGATTTAGAAGTTAACAATTTATTTTGTAATGAATGTTGAAAGTATTTTCTATTCATGTGAATTTTATTATTTTTCAAAAAATTTGAAAATATATTTGATCTCTTTTTCAATCACCGTGTAATTATAAAAAAATATAAAATAAATCAAAAGAATAGACTAAAGTCGAAACTATAAAAATCCAACTTTATATGATTTGATTTAATTTTAAGAACTAATTAAATAAAATAGTTAGTTTAGGTTTTTTCCAATTAAAATGTAAATCAAATCGACCTTTGTGCCCCCTCATTTGAAATAAAGAGCAAATTTGATTTCGTATTTAACAACTAAAACTTCTTTTTTTCGTTTTTCTTAATGATTCTAAGACTATATATATTAACTCCCAAGTAATATACATTTTCTCATTTAAATATTTTATATATCATACGGTCATCTTACATGTTAAAGTATGTAATATATCTTATTTAAGATGCATCACATATATTAAAATAGAGAGAATATATATAGACAAGAAAAAAATTAAGGAAAAGATAATCAAGACACATTTAAAGTTTTATTTTTTTTCCTTTTCCGAGTTTTATATGTCAATCATCATGTGTTTTTCATGTTCTATCTGAATTATTTCCTGACAGTTCCAACTTCCAAAGCCATGTCTTATTTCATAGATGGATCAATAACAAGATTGTCATGCAAAATCTTTGTTAGTTCTGCTAACACACAGCATAACTTCAAAATAAACAACCAAAGTCTTAAATAATAACAAAAATGAAATGAAAAACCATCTCTGTTCCCAAACAGAGTATTCAAAACATTCATCCAAGTTCACAATTCTATGTTTCCAAGCAGATAAAATCTTTATAGTACCTTAAAGCAAACGCAAAACACAGCCACGCTACTCCATCAACCAAACGTCTCGTTTCAGTTTGTACTTCCAAAATATTTATGCCAAAGATTAAGAAAGATTGTGATAACGATACTAATCAGCAAGATAAACAATTTCTACTTTAGATGATGCCTGTTGAAACTTTGTTATCTCCGCGAGTACGTTGAGAGATTTGTTAGTTTCCATTTGACGAGGCTTGATTACCATTTTCACCAGTGCTGGAGACTTTGCCAATAAAACCTTGATAAGCTGCATTTCAACCTCTTCTAATTGTATATCATAAAACATAACTGTCCTCAGATGATGAAATGTGATATCCGAAAAGCTTGCAGGAATCTCATCGACAACCTCCTGGGGCACAGATTCGAAATAATCTCCATCACTAAGGATACATTCCTAAGAAAAATCAAGAAAAAAAACCATCAAGTCATTACATACGAATATAAAAACATGGAAGATATAGAGAGAAAAATAAACATTAGTGACAACCTTGCTTTCAATTTCTTCCAAATTTGGAGAGCTTCGTATTATGCAAAGAGCAAACGAAAGCTCAAAAAACTCTCCAAGAGTAATCCAAGACATGAATAGGCGTTTCAGACAGTTAAGGGCTGATGGAAGCCTTGTTGGTATAACTTTAGTTGATCCTTTATCGACCTATGAATAAAATGACAAAAATCAGGATGAATCAAAGTCTAATAAAAAGTACACATGAAATTGCATTACCATTAAGTAAAATGAAGTAACATACCTCAAAAAAATCCCAGCTGAAACACTCGAGAGCAGGGATAGACGAAAAAATATTGACAAAATCATCTTCGCCCTGTAGAACTAATTCTCTAGGCACATACAGAACATTGGAAAGAACAGGGACATTTTCAAGATGTATCAATTGTATATCGCCATGAAAGACAAATGACCTTAGCTTCGGAGCATTAATACTCATGGGGTACAGATTGTCTATGTCTTTTAGCACCAAATCCCCAAGCAACGGGCAATTAGAGATCAAACTTTCAAACGTATCAGAAGATAACGTGACAGATTTCAATATTAGCCTAATCAACTGACTAAATCCCTTAAAGAAACATGGAAGCTGTATTTCACATTCCTTGAGATACAAATGCCTCAATGCTGAACAATTAAAAAAGAAGTTGGGCAACCTGTATGGAGGATAAGTAAATGGAAGTTTAAGGACAAAATATTGAAGATGATCAGTGTCGAGGGAAAAAATCAAACGATCAACATCAGGACACACTATTAGACTAGTAATATTGAGGGTGACCTTCAATATTATTCCTCTATGAAACCTGAGGAAACTCTCAAGAATTGGAATAAATCCAATGGTAGGGGACGTCAAGTCCTCTGGTGTTTTCCACACTGTTTGATCAAACTTCACATTTGGAATTCTCCAGCAAATATATTGCCAGTCCTTCGAAAGTGTACTAACTCTAACAACATCTCGAAAAGACAACCTACTTAGAATGTCATCGATTAAATAAATGTTAAGGTTGCTAAGTCGATCAGGAGAAGGTAAACTAAGTCCTTATTTATCTGGAGGCATGACAATCTGTAGAAAGTAAACAAAAGTACAATAGGTAAGGTCAAAGTACACGCTAGTATTACAATTAACCTCTTTTGGGATATATGACCCCAAACATTTGTTCTACAAGTAGGAGAAAATATTAATTTAGTGAACTACACACTTGATTTCAATATTTTGGTGTAACAGAATAAAGAAATACATCATGAAATTTTAATTTATGTATACACTATTAATAAGAACACCAAAATCATGAAAATGGTATTATTTTTTAATTCAAATAATCATATCCAAACCATAATTAAACCTAAAACTATCAGCACTTGAATGATAAATCATATTCCTATAAATTAAAAAAAAATTGATAATTGAACAAGGTTATATTCATTATTCATGACTAAGCCATAAGTCCATATTTTACCTTTAACCTATGTTTTATCAAGACAACATAATTAGAATTATACAAATATTTTACTTTTTTCTTAATAGTGTATTTTTTGTAAAAACTACAATCTTAAGAGGAAACAAGTTTGGAGTAACTTAATTTTATTTCTGTCATTACACAGTGAATTTAGATACACCTATCATTGGAGTATACTATAGTTCTTTTTTATGAAATTTTTTTATTCATGTTGTTATTGTTGTTTTAATTAGGGTTTCTATAGAGGGTGACTCAATCCCTTTAAAGATGAGGCATATGTCTTAGGTCCCCAAAATTGAAAGGCCTAACTTTAGTAACAATAAAATTATCTAAAGCTTTTTGTAGCAAAAACAAAGAATGTTTTAATTTGTATGGAACTTTTCATATGGATCAATTTTATATTTAACTTCCACATGATAAGTTTAAGTCCACAAGATTAAAAATATATTTTGGTATAAATATATCTTTAGTTTAAGATCATAAAAATAAAATTATTTTTATGAAAAAGAAATAAATAATTTGAATCTCACATAAAAATAAAATATAATTAAAATTTCGGCCTCCAACTTATTTTTATTTTTAAGACACTATCTAGCTTGAGCCTTCACTGAGTTTATTTATCAATTATGTGTACTAACTGTTGAAGCAAGCTTGAGGACTGATAGAACACTTCAAAGGAACAGATCACTCGAAGCAGAGTGATGGGTTAAAGTTAGAGTTGTACTAGGATTAGACTACTAAATCTTATGTTACGTATGACTAAGCTATTGAATATTATAGGAGTCAACTAGGATAATGTATTTGATTTGTAATACAATACTACTCACGTAATTATTTGTATTGTACAAGGACTCCTAGAATAACTAGAATAAGACTCTTCTCCGATATAAGGAGATTGTAACTTTACATTATAATAATCAATACATCCTTGATTTCTACATACTTTCGTGAGATTATGACATGGTATCAGAGCAATAAAGCTTTTCCGCTTTTTAACATATTAGATCATAATAAAAAAACAACCAAGTTTATCAAACCACAATGACCCCTTCTACCAACACTCTTTCGACCTCTTCACTTCATCATTTTATTTCGTCCTACTCCATTAAACTTAAGCTAATGAACTATCTTTTATGAAGGACACAAATGACTCAGTTGATTCAAGTGATGAGATTAACCGAATTCATCACAGAACCACGTTAACAGACCTATTCCACTTGGAAGACTACTGAGAAAATTGTAATTGGCGAGAAGAGTGTTGAAGACAAAAACATTGTTGATGACTGGATGGAGAAGGATGTTTACTAAGGAGTTGGATTTCAGGCACCTTGATAGAAGAAAACATGTAACTGATTGTAGGCTGCTCAACTGCCAAAGTGTGAGGTTAGGAACCAAAACAATTGACGAATACATTAAGGAATTTAAAGGCATATGTGACGGTCTAGCAACCATTCACAAGCCTGTACATGAAGATAACAAAAGTGATTCATTTTGCTAGAGGTATAGGTCATATTTACAAGACCTTCAGGACTGTCATGTTATGTAAGACACCATATCCCACTCTTAATCAGTTTGTTCATGCTCTCAGGGGTCGTGATATGAGGGAGGATAAATAAAAAGTGCCTCAATAAAACCGTAACATGACATTCTCTGCCCGAAGAGGCAGGGGAAGAGGAAATTACTCTCAAAGAAGAGGAAACAATAACTTCAATTCAAGAGAAAGATGCTTCAAGTCTGCTGGACAAGGAACATGTCCTTATAACACCAGAAATGGACCAGGTCCTCAAAACAGTCCTTCAGGTGAAAGTCATGAAAGAGACAATAATGATGCGTGTCAAATTTGTGGTAGGAATAACCATACTACTCTTAAGTGTTTTTACAGGTGAGACTACTTTTACCAAGCCAACAGATGAGCTACCACAAGTATTTACTACTACTAATCTATAAAACACTACTGATGACACCATGTATGATGACTCAGGAGCAAGAAGCCAAATGACACATTACACAGGTATCCTAACTGATCTTAAACAAAACACTGAACCAAATAAAATAATTATTGGGAATGGATCAAAGTTAGACATTACACATGTTGGAAACATATTTGGAACAGGTTTAAAGTTAAAGGAAGTTCTCCTAGTCCCTAAGATCAACAAAAATTTACTCTCAGTTAGTAAGCTTGCAAAGGATAATTGTTGTACTCTTGAATTTGGTGAAACTAACTTTATTGTATAGGACAAGTGGACAAGGACATTGCTGGACAAAGTATCTAAAAGGAATGGACTCTATGCTTTGCAAGACAACAATCTCTACGCCTTGACTGCTGCACACGACTAGAACACGTCAAACAACATGTGGCATACTAGATTAGGGCACCCTAGTTTGAAGTTTTTAAATTTTTTTGAGTAGTATAGTTGCATCAATGTTAGTAGTTAGAATAAAATTCCTACTGTTTGTTCTAGTTGTCAGTTGAGAAAGAGATGTAAGCTTTCTTTTGGTTTGAGAGATAAAATTGAGAAAAAAACCCTTATTGAAAATTCATCCTGACTTATGGGGACCAGCTACTGTCGAATCTTCCCATCATATGAAATATTATGTATTTTTTATGATGATCACATAAGATATACATGGATTTATCCATTGAAAAAGAAGTCTGAATATATTTCATAAAATGGTGGAAAATAATTTGCTAAAGAGATTAAGATTTATTAGTGTGATGAAGGTGGTGAATTTATCCAAATAGACTTCATTAAGCATTTGGAAGATCATGACATTGTGAGATATATTTCATTTCCTAACACACCTGAACAACATGAAATTGCACAGAGAAAACATAGGCATATTGTGGAGACCGACTTAACTCTACTACTTCATTCTAACCTACCTCTGTTTCTTATGGGTTGAAGCTTTTCTCACTGCAATAGTTTTCATCAATAGATTGTCTTAATCAATTTTAAAGATGGTGACTCCGTTTATTAAGTTTCATGGGGAACAACCTGGATACAACAACCTAAAAGTATTTGGGTGCAGATGTTTTCATATATTAAGGGTAATAATAAGTTCAGTCCAAAGACCTATCCCTGAATTTTCATAGGGTACAACAACTTACACAAAGGATATAGATGCTATCATCCCTCTACAAGAAGGGTTTACATATCCATACATGTTGTTCTTGATGAAAACACATTACCCTATGTGTCTTCAAATCAATCTCAGACTAAAATTGATGTCTTGCCTCACCTTGCTACTTTTGTTAATCTTTCTCTAAACTACAGACACCTGATAATTATGATTCAATGGAAATACATGTTGCTAGCCTACGCATTACTGGTTATAATGCTGGTACACTTCATATACCCATTGATGATGAGAGTATTATTGAACTCTCAGGGGAAGTATCGGATGTTGAGGAACATGTTGAAGTTGATGATCCATATATTAGCATCGAAACTCCAGCTGCAAATTTTGAATCTGCCAGTAGCAGTGAAGAACAAGTTGCTCTTACATGTCCAGCCAATGATCATCATCAAGCAACCATTTTATTTGATTTATTAGTTGACCAACAAATTGACAATGCTACACTCTAGTCCACTATCTTGGTTGATGTAATAGTTGAGGTACTTCGTGAACTAGGAACAGGGCGAAGGAACGACACTTGTTACTTGTTACTTGCAGCAGCAAAGAAATTTTGAGAGAACCAAATACTACTAAGGAATCACTAAAATCACCTTATTGGCTTGCATAGATGCAAGAAGAAATTGATGTTTTACATATAAACAAGACATAGATTTTTGTGCCTAAATCTCCTGGTATGAACTTGGTTGGACCAAAATGGGTGTTTAAGACAAAATTAAAAGCTGATGGGACAATAGATAGATTTAAGGCCTGAATTTTTGCAATGGGATTCTCGCATCTTGAAGGGATGGATTTTGAAGAAATGTTTAGTCTTCTGGTTAAAGCTACAATTATTAGTGTGGTTCTATCA